CCCCAAGAGAACATGGCGCGTCCTGATACGTTGGCCCGGCTGCTGGGCCCTCTCCCTCCATCTCTCGTGCCGCCGTTCCTCCATGCCGACCGGTGGTCGTCCTTCGTTCGGGTAGTTTCCTTGCCTGACCCTCGGGAGGAGTTTGCCTTCTCGGGCGGCCCCTCGTTGGATGAGGCGGAAGCGGGTGTTTCGTTCAGCTTCCTCCCGTTGGCGGCCTGGTTGGATGATCAATTCCCGAGCCCCGAGAGTGATCCGGAGGGTTCCGAGTCGACGGCGGTCCTGAAGCGCGTTCCCCCTGCGCCGGTGGTTCGGGCGCGGTCTTCGTCTTCGATGGAGGTCGACGTGGAACGGGATGGTGCCCCGCCGGTTTCGACCCTGCTTTTCCTACCTTCCGACTCGGGTTCGGACTCGGATGTGGAGGTGATCGCCGGCCCTCGTCGTTTGTCTTCAGTGGGGATCGACGCCTCTGAACACGAGTCGGCTACGGATGCCCTCGACCCTTCCTTCTCCCCAGCCATGTCGCCTGCCCCGTTGCAACGGGATTTCGGCACCCCCTTGGCCCCTCGTCTAGAATCTACTGGACAGCTGGCGCTTTTCCGGGGGGAGCCCCCTCGTCAACCAGGAACAGTGATCCGATCCCTTTCCCCTCGCTGTGAGTATTGCATCGCTCATGATCGTTTATGCACCGTGTGGGGCGTCCCAGATAGTTCGCCCCAGAAACTCCCTGGTCCCGTGCGTCGGGCTTGTGACGCATGCAGCCCGCTCCATCGGGCCTGTCTGCGTTGGCGGTCTTTTGCGGATGCGTACAAGGCTCGTTCCGCGGATCTGCGCGAGTTTTCCTTCGAATTTTGGGAGCGTCAAGTCGAGGATGGCGAGTTTGCGCTGCTACGTCCCAATCCCCGCTTCGCCGATCTAGTCGGGCTGTCCGCATTGGTCCCGTACCGATCCTTCTTGTTCTCTTATTTGCCCCGTTCAAACGAGGATCGGTTCCCGACCCCGACGGTCTGGCCTTCTTCGGGCCGTCGGCGTCGCCCGGTCGTCCCTTTCGTCAGTGTCTTCTCGGGACTCCTCCCTGTCCCCCGTGCGAAAACGAGTTCGCACCCGCTCGCCCGTCTCCTCCACCATCGTCAAGTCGTCCCCCCGCCGAGTCCTCGCCCCACTTTCCGCCGGCCGGCCTCCCCTGTCGTGGATCGCTCGTTAGGAGAGGCATCGTCCCGGCCATCCGTTCCTGCGGGTAAGACCCACCCTCCTTCTTATCCCACCATGGGTTTCCAGGTGCCTTCGTTCCCTCGAGTCTCCCTGTGGTTCGGGAGGGAGTGGGACTTGAATCGGGCTATTGCCGAGTCTCGCCCGGTTGCATGAGGACCTGTCGGTACCCGCCGATCAGCGCTTGTCGCCGTTGGGCGTGCTATTGTTGCAACAATCGGCGGTTCATTCGGCCGACGGGGGCTTCCCGGATGCTCGATCCCGCGCCCTCGCGGAGTTGTCGTCGATGCGTTCCCTGGACGCAGACCTCCGGTTGGTGAACTCGCTGGAGTCCCTGACAGCATCGCGGGACGTTGCCGGACGTATGCCGCTATCTGGGCACCATTCTTCTGGCTATCCACCGGTCCGAAGGAGAGAGGTCGGGATTTTGGGAAACGCCGGAGGGTTTAGAGCGTCGGGCCGCTAAACGAGAGGTGTATGCGAATGTGTGCCGTCAGGACGGCCTGAGCTTCGACATGATGGACCTGGATTAGGCTTCGGCGACTCGTTGGTCGTTCTTCGCGGAATCGGCCGGGGTTCCCCGTCTACTCGGGCCTCGGCGTTCGGGTATCCCCGTCCATTTGTTTGCTGTCATCGTTTGCGCGCCTTGTCAAGTCGGCCTTCTCCCGTAGGGCGCCCCCGTGGTGGTTCGGACCGTATCGTGTTTTTGTCTGCGTATTTTCCACTTTTTGTATTTTTGCTGTCTATAATCGATCGATTCGTCTTGCACTCGTCCGTTGTGTGATGGGTGAAGAAAGAGATTTATTATTAGGGGACAGAGGCCCCGCCACAGATTAAGTAGAGCAGATTACGAGAGAGATAAGAACGGCCCCCAGGGCCTTCGTGCGGAGGGAGGTGTGCCCCATTTTATCAGGCAGAGTGTGCCGGTGGCCCCGGGGCGGTCCGAGATGATTCGGATCGGGGTTCGGCCGTACGCGGGGAGGGGCGGTGAGTTGTTGAGGCGTCGGCGCTTTGCGGCGGGCCCGGCACCATGGGCCGGGCAAGCGTGTTCCATGTGTCGATGGTGTTCGTCCAGGGAGACCCGCCTAGGGGTGCCCCACTTCAGGGCGGGCTCCTTTCTCCCGTAGAGGACGCGGTTGAAGACCACGGGTTGGGCTTCGAGGGTGCGTCCGTATAGGTAGGCAAGGGAGGCGATGACGATAGCCACTAGCGTAGCCCACGCCGGGAGTGCGATGACGGTGGTAGTGTCCATTCTGTTGCGGGTGTAGGGGGATCGCTTAGATTCTGTCAGACTGCGGGTCGGGCCGTGCAAGGACTTCTCCTAAGAACGCGCGCCCGGAACAGAACAGACGAATAGTCGGGCCCGCAAGTACGGCGGGCGGTGTAGATCGAAACCGAAAGGGCCCGTGAACTCGGTCCCTTGTCGTAGTCGGTGGTCGATGGTTCGAATCGGGTCGTGTCGGGCCCGATGAGTCGATAGCGTCTCCTCGCACGGAGTAAGGTAGTTCTTCAGACGATCTAAGTGATAGAGTACAGGGTACACTATCGCGCCTTATATACGCGGGCCCGCAAAGGGGGTGATCGGACACCCTGGCCTCTCCTCCTCCTCCTCGCTCCCGTTCCTGGCCGCAGAGGGGACGATCGCACATCCCTTGCGGGCCAGGCTACTCCTGACCTCCTAGCACTCCTCCCCAGTCCCCTGGTGTCGAGTTGGGCTCGGCGACGGCTCGACGCGTCGTTCTCGGTCACGTGCTTCCCACGTGTGCGTTCCTCCTACTGGGGCGCATGTTCCCCGTCGTCACGTGCTGCGTGTTACGGGCCCGCAATGGCCCGACACCAGCGCCGGAGCGGACGGGCCGGGTCTTATCCGTGACAGAAATGATATAGAAACTCTAGGAGTTTGCCTGCTAGGTAGCTGACTATATACTGCTCATCCGTAGCTGCCGCATATAAGGCCTTGGAGGTGTCACAGGCAATGTTCCAGGGTGACTGTTGGGAGGGTGTTGACAGATCGGTGATTGTGTGGCTGAGATGGAGGGCTGAACCGGAATTGGACCAGAATCGGAATTGTCTCCAAGGGGCCTAAAGGGAGGTTCCCCTGACAGGTTCTCCAGCAGCAGACTTCAATAAGTTAGGACCAAAGACTTGATAGAATGGAATGAAACAGGATGGATTGCAGTAAATTTATAGTACAGAGAAACTATTGAATGTACCCAGAACACTCTCCTTTGCCCCTTTGCAGCTGCATATGGTCCTAGGCAGCCGGAAAGAGAAAGGTCGATGTAGCCTAGACATGAAACAGGGTCATATGTTGGGTTAGGACAGACATACTGGGAGACAGAGTCTGTAGTGGGAAGTGGAGAAGGCTGCTGGATGGAAGGAATAGGTCACTGGTTGCTATCGTCTTCTATGACAGAGTGTGGATTTCAGTGTTACTACTAACATACTGTAGCATTTAATCAATTCATCAGGGGGTCGGCCACATGACACCCCTGATGAATTCAATGTTCCGTCAGCTGTGTAGTAGCACTGGCAGTGTGACTGACAAAAGTTTTTGTCAGCACAAGCAGGCAGCTCCGCAGCCCAAGGCAATCAATTTCCTAAACCAGACCTGAGCATCACTAAGAGCAATGGGTACAGTGAAGTGGAAAGACTTGCCAATAGGAAGATGGTGGAAGGGAGAAAGGAAAGAAGGGTATATTACAACATCAATATGATGCCACTTCTGAAGCCAAGATGGATGTCAGTCACACCTTCATGACTTAGAGAAATTTGGTTGAGAGATTGAGGCACTGTTGTGGAAGTACTGGCTTGTGCAGTGTTCGTCAGAAGAACGGTCAATATGTCCGGACAAATAGAAAGATTTTGGAGGAAAAAGAGTAGAAGAATTTATGTAGAAGTAAAAGCAAAAGTGAATGTCAGATTGCAGAAACTCATTCCAGTCGTGACACTTGGCTCGGGGGGGGGGGAGTCGAAAGGCATGAGAATCTGGTGGTCAGTAGTTTGGTGTTCACTAGCAACTTGCCCTTAGTGGAGCAATCTCAGCACTACTTTGGGATTCATGAAAAAATGCCCCCAACCTGAACTGAACTGAAAACTTCAACCCTGCCATCTCTGCTGGAGTGAATTGCCTTATTTAGGATTTGTCACCACATTACAATTGTCAATAGTGATAGCATATGGCATAACTAATTATTTCTAGGTGGCAATAGGTAACTATCTTTATGAATTTAACATGTTATTGAGAATGCATTCCATGGTGTTATGTGGCATAGAGCTGTGTGCTCTTCAGACTGGTATAAGTACTTATTTATTTAATTTGTTAACACTTGTGTCTTTGCTCATAATAATAAGATAGCCTAGCTATATGCGGGAGACTCTGACGGCTGATCTGCTGCATCAGACGGCGGCGCTTATGCAGAATAGGCGCCCTGACATACGTAGCCCGGCTGGTACGATTACACGTGGCATCTGAGTCAACGCCGTCCTGTTCTACGCAGAGTCGTCGCAGACGGCGCCAGTGGAATTAGATTTCGAATGTTTTTTACCGTAGGCGATCATCCCTGACGTCACCCATCGATCGATAGCGCCTAGCCAGCACATAGCGATCGGTATCAGCATCACCACCTGTCCGTTGCCGCGCATCCCACAAGGGCACAGCCCCCCGCTGCTTCTTGCTTCCCGTCTTCTCCAGCACCCAGAAGACCCACGGCACACCCTACTACCGCCTACGCTCACATTATACACTCTACAGCTCACACGAAACCATACACAGTCACTACACGCAAAAGCCAATGGCGGACACACAAGCAGCGCCAGCGCTGCCGACCCCGGCGCTAACGCCCACCCCAGCATTGGAGACGGGTGCGAGCACACCGGCCGGGGAGCGGGAAGATGTGGTTGTTGTTTTAACAGCTGACGACGCTGACGCAAGGGAGCGACTACTTGCTACGCGGGCTATACGCCGGATCGAAAGCGCCGCAAAAAGGAGGGAACAGGCGGGCGAGAAGCGGGAGGCGGTGAGTTTTTTCAAAAGCTTTCCATTTCTCCTCGCCGTCCTTCTACTATCGGTGCACAGTCCTGATACAAGCCTTTCCTTCAACTGTACCTTCTTATTATCACCCCCCCCTCCCCCTTTTCTTCATTCGGATGCGACGCTGATACATATACGCTGCAGGGAGTGGCTGCTATGCGAGCTCAGGAGTACGAGGCTGCAGCGGCGGCTTTCGGGGAAGCCTGTGCATTATGGCGCACGAATCCGGTCCTGAGGTGTGACCTTGCGACCGCGTGGATGCATCTCGGCAGGTGAGTACTCCTTTCCTTCTTGTGAAAACCTTAAGTTTTTCACACTGGCAGATTTGAGGACGCGGAGGCCTCCGCCTCTAACGCTCTTAACCTTGACCCGAAGTTGGTGGAAGCCCGATATGTCCGTGGGATGGCACGCAAGGGCCGTGGCGTGCTAAGAGCAGCCATCGTCGGTGTGTCCCAGTATTCACATTCTCTTTTACAACACTAAGTGTGGATACAGACTTCGAAACTGTCCTTCAATTGGACCCTAAAAACGAACCCGCCCAAGCCCAGCTTCGCGAGCTCACCGCCGAGCCACTTCCCGATTCTCCCAGCGACCCAGACTTCGACCCCGCCGATCCCTTGATCACCTCTACCCTCCCCGCTTTACCAACTCTGGACCCAGACCTTTTGTCCACCTCGGACACCTCCGATGCGAACCACACCGGCTCGGGCACACCTTGCCTCTTCTACAACCACGGCGGCTGTCTGCGGGGCAGTGCCTGCGCGTTCTCCCATGCCGCGGACCACAAGAGTGTGCGCGATGGGCTGGGGAAGAACGTGTGCTTGTACCATTTATTAGGCCTGTGCAAGTTCGGCGCCAAGTGCATATATAGCCACGAGCGCAAGTGGCTCGCGGACGGGTGGTGGGACGACGCGGGCGTTGTGGACAGAGTGAAAACGAGGGTGGAACGGGAGAGGGAGGGGCGGAAGGAGCGGCGAGAGGAAAGGGAGCGGGAGAAAGAGAAAAGAAAGGAGGAGAAGGGGCGGAAGGAGAAGGGAAAGCGGCGTGGGGGGAAAAAGTCTGTCCCCGTGAAACAACAGCCCGGGACGACAGACCCGCTGACGGCGGAAATCGAGCGGCGGATGGCGGTGATGGCGGCGATGGGCATCCCGACTGGGACGCTCTCCCCGAACGACGTGCTGCGGCAGATGCAGGCGATTGCTGCGTCGGGGATGCCGCTCCCTTATTCGCCGATGCTGGCCGAGACGCCCGGGATAAGTGTCCCGCTGAGTCCGGGGCTGCAGCTTGGGATGCTGGCGCAGATGCAGGCGGGGCAGGAGCAGATCCGCGAATTAGAGGGACGGATGCGGGAGTTGAAGGGGATGGCGGAGAGGCGTAAGGCTGCTGAGGAGGGAATAGAGGTACCGGTGGTGGAAGTGCAGGCGGCGTCGCCGGCGGTGGGAAGTGGGGCGGGGGCAGCATGACGCGTAGGATAGATGTTGATTTTTTTCATAAAAAAGCTATTTATTCGCCCAGGAACACTATGGCCCGTCCCCGTGTTGAACAATGATGGGCTGAGGGCTATGACACACATCACCAGCATATGGATGTTGTCAGGGCTTACCTGTGGGACACAAATTTCTGAGACTGAAGTCGAATATGAGGCATTAATCAATGAGTGCAAGGAGATGTTTCCATAGGTTCAACATAGGTTCTGACCATGCAATTTCTCTGCATCTCATCAATGAACTAATGTTGGCATTAGATTGACTGTCGTCATGCAGTTAGTTGAATGACGCGGGATTCACATGGCTGAGAACTGACCTGCCAGAGTGTTTCAGAAGATCTCCCGGCCGGAACGTGACCTCGGTGTGACTTTCAAGGTGGTGCATGTCCACTTTAAATTTATTTCGCTTGGTTTCCGTGCCATCTAGACCAATCAGGCATGATTTCCACCAAATAGGGCCAGAAAACCTCTGAATTGACTGAGAAATCAACGCCCCAACCCTGTTTGATGGCCATCAACCGTCGACCCGTAACAACGGCCGTAACGAGGACCCCCGAAAATACGGTGTTAACTTGGGTACAGATTCGGACACAATTGGGTGCAAAAGTGCCGATCACTTTGGCACCTTGTGCGGACAAATTTGGTCAAGAGTCGGTCCCAGTTTGTGACCAAGTCCGGACAAATTTGCCGGCCGCCAGAGCGGCGAAGCGGTGACGGACACCCGAATGCAGTCCCTCGTGGCCCCCTAGCCTAGTGGTTTTCGCGCTCGCTGCATCCTGCGACGATCTCTTGATCGATTTTCGCTGTTTCATGCGTTTCCGCCTGAATTCACGCGACGTTGATCCCATCAGCGATTTGATGCCGCCAGGAACTTTCATACATGTTCGGACAAATTTTGCCCAAATTTGGCCTCTTGTTCGGACAAAATTGGCCTTCGGAGGTATCAAAGTTCGGGGGTAACGGCCGTATTCCGACGGTAATGACGGGTCCAAGCCGTCCTGTAACCTTGCCATCGCAACCACTTGGCTGGATTGCCAACGGCACTAGGGCTTGGTTTGTAAAAATTTTGGAGGTTATCAAACGGTTTGATAAAAATAGCCTCTGAAACCTTGTTTATAAACCGGTTTTTAGGTTTTATAAACCAACTGAGCCGATATGACCGGAGAGATCAAAATTGCCTTTTTAGGAATTTTTTTGCAGCAAATTTTAGTGTTTTAACTTCATGACTTTGAGATTCATAGACATTAGGGGTTGAAACAGCAAGGTTATATCAACTATCACTTGTAAGTTTGCATAACATGAATTAGTTATATATAACGTGTATAATTTACTTATCAGCAGACTTGAGAACCCCTGTCATGAATCCTTTAGAACAGTTAAAAATCATGATAACCTTGATAATAATTAATCTGTATGGTTAGTATAGTATAGTCACACACCCAAGCTCCCAATACTTACTGGATTAATCATGATCAATATGGCAATATTAGCCGAAAGTGGGTTGAGATCCTACTTGATAAGAAACAATATATTATAATAGACCTATAAGATATGATCAAACCTACTAGCAGTATATAGAAGCAATATTAGTGTAAAGTAAGTCTGGTTTGCTAGCTTCTTTCCTTTCTGGGTGCTTACTAATATAAAACCATAAAACAGGGGGTTTCCAGCCAGGCTGTTTATAAACATATAAAACAGGGGTGTTTATAAACCGGTTTACAAACACCCCTATATAAACCAAGCCCTAAACGGCACGGTAACGGGCACCCGTCGACAGGTGCTGTAGACCCGGGGCAACAGCTCCGGGTGACATCCCTAAAGAATGATCAACAGTTTGTAAGCATTATTTCCAGATGAGTCAATCACATAATCCTGTGAAATACCTGCCTAAATAGGCAATTCTCACACATGTCACGATCGGTTGGTCCAGCTGTAAGTGTGTATGTTCCTTATTTTTTTTCCCTTCCCCTTGGCCATTGTGATGGATTTCATCATAGGATGTTTCCCTGGAAATAGCCTACTAATAATTATTTTTAATAGTCCCATGCACCTACCCTTGCTAAGTGGTAATGATGGGATCAAATATTATTGTGTTGTATTAGGAATCTGGGATTCTCCTGTATATTGTCTAGTTTTCCCAAAATCACCTGTCATCCAATACAGATGAGCAATAGAGTCAAGGAGATCACATTGCTGTTTTTGTGTTGGAGGTAGATTCTGCTAGGGAAAGACCAATATTGAACATGTCATGAGCTTTGGCTGGATTGTGGTCATGATGATGATAAAATGCTCCAATGACAAAATAGATATGACCTGAGTGGAATGTCAATAAATATATGCACTAGAGCTATGAATCTAGCTTACATTTGATTGGTGCATCATCAAAGTGTTCACAGTGTTTCATAATAGTTTGGATTAAATCTTCAGGGTTTGGAATGGGATGGAATCGCCAGCTATCTAGGAATCGTGTTTGGTGCACAGCCTCTAGCTGATGGTCCATTGGTTCAAGCTTGGCTAAGAAGAAAGGGATATCATCCACCAGTCTAAGCTTCCCTTTACCAGTGCCAATGCTGAACATATCCAGGGAATGGATAGATGCAATACAACTTGAGACAGTTGATTGTGAAGAGAGTTGGAGCCCCCTATGGAGAATCACTTGGACATTCCCAAAGTTTGATCCAAGCCAAGAAGTGACACCTGTTTGACCAAATGTTCCATAATGCATTTTGTAGATCTGTAGAAGGCCCTGGTAATGTTGACGCAAAGGCTGGATAAGTGCTTCAGAAGGTGGAGCAACTTTTTGCATATATTCTTTGATTGGCACAAGTACTTGGAGCCTGCCTTGAGTATTCATATAAGCTAAAGCTGTTCTGAGCAAAGCTGATTTGCTTCCTAAAAGGCTGCTTTTCAAGGTCTTCAAGCTGTTGTTGGACAACTGGAGGTTGCTTTGTGTAAGATCTGTATCAGAAAGGCCATCTGGTAGAATGCTAAGTAAGCTTAGCAGCTCTTGAGCTTCAGGCTGTATTAGCATTCTGGGACTAGACAGGGACAGTGCTATAGACATCTCTAGATTAGAACGCTTATCGATTCCATCTGAAAGCAGAGAAGTGTGTTCCTGCACCCAACGGTCTAAGATAATCTTGCAGTCACCTTCATCTGCAACAAGATGTGCCAGAAGAGTGACTGCAAGTGGCATGTTATCTGAAAGCTGGAGCAATGGATGCAAAAACTGGTCTTGCTCAACACCATCAGCTATGTCTGTGAAGACTTTGTAAGTTGCCTCATTTGAGAGTGGCTTGAGTATAGGCAGGAATGGACGTGTCCACTGCACTTGGGCGGGTCGTTCTGCACCACGCATAGTTATCTAAGTTATAAGTTATACAATGTGGATATCATGGATAGGATTATCTTACCAACAGTGCCAGATGCTCAATACCTGCTAATAAACCAAGCAAAACCTCCACATCCTCTTGTCCTGAAATTGGCTCCCAGACAGTCTCTAGATTATCTAACATGAGCAGAGTTTTGGGGCCCTTAGCAAGGTGCTTGACTACAAAGCGGGTCCGATCTTGAGCATGTATGCCTGCTTTGACACCCACATACTCAGCAATGACAGAGGCAAGCTCAACCTTGTTGGCTGCTGTGTCACAGGGTACAAAGTATCTGTGATCTCCAAACTGGGAGATTATGAGAGGATCATGGAGGATGGCCTTGCCTAGACTTGTCTTGCCCATCCCACCAGCCCCAAGGATTGCTACACGTGGGGTACTAGTAACAAAAGTGGAGAGTATTGCCTCTGTTTCAGCTTCACGGCCATGGAATATCTTTGGCTGAGAGGGAAGGAGAGATAGTGAGTAGGAGCTATGACTGTGAGAAAGGGGAGATCAATGCTAAGAGTGTTTACCTATTGAGGGAATCTTTTGTGATCTAGTTATATGGAGATTCAGTACTATAATAAAGCTTGCTATTGCTGCTCACTGAAAAGGTTGACTCTGAGTCTGACATCTCATTATTGCCAGGTTGAATACTCTGGATCATCTGCAGAATCTCTTGGTGATCATTGTCTGCAGTGAGCTGAAGATCTCTGATGTCATTCAAGATCTCATACCGCTCAAGCTGGAGGTATTTCAATCAACAACCCAGATTCATTGAAATGAAAGATACAATACCAGAAAGAAATCCAGTGCAGTTTGCAGCCCTGCATGACACTCCTTGAGGATCCCCGTGGTTTCAGACTGCTTGAAGAACTGCCTGAAACGACTACGGTCCTGTTGTGCTTCGAGGAAATGATGCACCTTGTGAAGAGTCCTGTGTGTGTTGCCACAAAGGTCAGCCACTAATTACACCACACAGAGAAGCCGGACTTACTCCACAAGGCGGCCGAGATGTTCTACTGCACTTGAAGACAGCAGCTTACTGTCCTGTTTCACAAGCAACACAAGAATGGCCTGCAGAAGCTGGTTGGTACTTTCAAGGAGATCAGTGCATTCATTCTTGTTCCGGCGCACATTCTTTATTGTGAATCAGCAGAAATAACAAAGGGCATATGGGCAGACAGTAGACCTGAGCTGATAAGACCAGCGCACGCGTTGTAGCGCAGAGGACGTCGAGGAACGGCGTCGCGACGTTGTTTGCAAGGACATCGAGCACGCCGGCGGCAGTGGAGATGTGGCGCAGCACGGTGTCGAGTTGGGTTGGGTGTGCGGACGTGCGGGCAGTCTGGGGAGGCATTGGGATCGCGTGGAACGCTTTCCGGACCCCGGAGTGGGTTATAAGGGTGCCTGGCGGTATGGAAGCTTCCTCGGAAGAAAGTTCTGTACCTTGCCAGCGCTTCTCTTCTGATACGCACTGTCCAGCAAGACTCTTGCCTTTCCCGAGTCTTGTTCGGCTCAACGACGGAGCAGGAGCACATGCACCCTTGTATGCAGATGAGCATCTGGTAGTAGGGTCATAAAACGCAGTCACACACCGCAAAGTGCGCATTTCGGATCCGAGAGTGAGATGAGAGTCATCTTCAAGTTCTATTGCCCTTAAGCCTTCCATGCGCGCTGTCACGGCAAAACCCTCCCCTCCTCGTCGTGACTCGTGGGGGACTGGTGACAGCTTCCTTCAGTCTTGAATCGGCAAGACGAACGGCGGAAGCACCCAACTCGCACGTCTCTGGCGGCTTCCCAGAAGTATCCGTCGTTCCGTTGCCATTCCGTGTGGCAGTCCAGTGGCATATTGTCGTATATAGCCTGTCAAAGTCACAATGGTCAGAGTGTTGGAGGATTGGAGGGCAGCTTAAGTGAAATCTTCTTCTCGACTGTTATTCGTAGTGGTGGTATCATGAAGAAGAAAAAAGCACCTTCACACGCTGTCGATCGGACACTGAAAATGATTCGGGCCGAATGGATTGGACACTCGAGTTTCGACTCGCAGCTAAGTTTGGTTGGTATAGCCGACAGAATCATATGTGGCCGTTGCGATTCGACTGCTTATTTCGTCTTGGGCCGCTCACCCGCCATGACTTCACTCGGCGTGACGCGTGACGTCGCTTACGGCTGTCGCTCCCTTTTTGCTCTCGACCACCACCAGCTCGCGCTGCCGACCGCCCGTGCTGCGGACGCTTATGGGCTAAAGACTTGCTTTTCGCCTATTTTCTTCCGTTGAATCCTAGGCTATGAGCCTCAGGCATACTAGTCGATGAAATTGGCACTCAAGGCTTCTACTCTGCCTCTAGCAACGACGCAAAACCCTCAACCCACGCGTCGGACTACGATCATCGACGCATCTCCTGTCCCTCCCGGCCTTTCGGGCGCGCTGACCCCCGTACAACAACGACGGCGGGCTCTGTTTGCCCCACGCACAGGCCGGGTCATTGATGCATTGGAAGCATGGCGTGGTGCATTTTTTTCTTTAAATTCCGTCGTGGGTTCTCACTTTCGATGATTAGATCTGGAACGGCTGGAGCCCCAACAAGCTCTGCGATGGGCACTACTCCCTCAGGCTGCGCGTTCAATTCAAGTTGGGCAGTCGTGCCAGCGGACGTTGACCGTGACTCGGACTATTATCTGGACTCATCCTTCTTTTTCCTCTTTGCGCATTGCGTCGCGGCTCTCCGACTACAACCCAACCTTCTCTGCAACGACGGACTAACTCAGTCAGTTCTAGTCAGGCATCAGAGGCAACGTTCACTTTGCTCCTGTTGTCGCGACTCTCATTGTTCCTTTGCGCAGATATCTTATTTCTCCCGCGGGAGCGAGGGCTCAATGCTAAATAATGCCACGAATTCGATTGCAATATAAAATACAGTGAGCGCATTCCGTCTACTCTACGTTAGCTCATTTACGACTGCGAGGGGTTGTTCTCCGCGAAGTACTCGTGGTTGTCCGCGTTGGCGATGGCGCGGTTGGAGTTGCTGGTGGCGAGCGACTTGGCCGCGCTCTGGCCGTAGGCGTAGTCCTGTGTGCCCGCGGTGACGGTGAAGTGGGACGACTCGTGGACGAGGGTGCCGCCCTTGGAGTCGGTGCCGGTGGTGGGCGCCTGCCAGAAGACGCCGCAGAGGTAGATGGTGCCGAACTGGTCGGCGTAGACGTACGCGTACGTGTCGCTGTCGGTGCACGTGCAGTCGTACGTGTAGCCCGAGTATGCGTTGGCGGCCATCTTGGTGTAGTGGTTCAGGACGGTGGTGCGGTGCGCGCTGGTGAACGAGCCGAACCAGGTCGTGAAGCGCGGGGTGGAGGCGGTGTTGGCGGTGAGGTAGCTCACCGCGTTGTTGGCGTATGTCTGGGCCGCGGAGGCGGCAGAGACGAGCTGGCTCTGTTGGGAGGAAGAGCAGGAGCGGTAGGCAATGCGCTTGTCGAGGCCGCGGCGGGCGACAGCGAGCGTGCCCTTCAGCGAGGTGGTGTGGGCAGCCTCAGCAGCGTTGGCGTGGATCGTAGCGAGCTTGCCCGAGGCGTCGACGTATTGGAACGCATTCGCGGCAACGATGTCGTATGTCGACTCGCCAGAGGCGGTGAAGTTATATGCCTTGGACACTATTCTTGGTCAGCAGTGCGCGCTTCACAAGAAGGACATGGCTCACAGTCGTGCTTAATCTCGACCGAAGCGCCAGGGGCGAGGACGGTGAACGAGCTCCCCTTGTTCTCTTTTACGACCTTCTCGGGGGAGTACTTGACAAACGCGCCACGGAAAGCGGGGCCCTTGCCGGCTGCATCGGCGATGGAAAACGAGTCCGTCTCAAAGGTGTGGAGGACCGTGCGCGGGTCGTTGAGCAGCTTGAGCTCGACGTCGCCGGTGTTGACGAGCTTGGCCGTGACCTTCAGCGCGCCGACGCCGTCAACCTCCTTGGGGCCTATGGACTTGTTAAGCTTCAGCAGGGATCTGGCACAAATGCGTACCGTCGAGGGCTAGCGAAAGCCCCGGGGCAGCCGAAACTGCAGCGGCGAAGGAGAGCGCGATGAGCGTGGCACGGAGGGAGGCGGTGAACATCTCGTTCCTTTCGGTCGTGTCTTGCCCTCTGGAGACTCTCTGCTCTTATACGACCGCCCACCCGATAAGCCCACGAGCAGCAGCACACGCCGCATCTCGCAATTGTTGCCGGGAAGAACGACGGGGCTGACAGGGCTCGCGACGGGCACCGCCAAGCCCTGATCGTACGTGATCGCATCACGCTTCTCCCCGGGCGATCGCGCGTCTGGCCGGCTTCTTCCACATTGCGTTGTGGGGACGTCTGATAGAGCCGCCCCGCACCATGTGTGGCCAGATAGCGTCCCGCGCAAGGGGAGCGGCCCGGACAAGAGAACCTCTACGAAAATAGCCCGCTTCTGGGTCGACAGATCGAGCAGCTGGCTTCCGCACACATTGCGCTGCTGCGATGCTTGTGCCCATCCAAGATAGTGGCCCTGCGCACCATGCGCGGCAAGATAACGTGCTGCTCTACTGCTGCCTTCAGCTTGTCGTGCGCTCCGCCGGTCGCTGACGGTAAAAATCCCCGCGCGACGGAAATACGGTCCCGTGATACGCATACCACGCGGAGATCCCCGCGCGCAGCCCGCACAGCCAAAAAGCTTAAACGGATCGCGCGCTTGGCCGCACCTAGACGCCCACGTAAGTCCTTTCATGCGCAACGGCTGTGTTGATAAGGTGGCATGCTCCATCTGTTTAATCCAGGCATGTTGAACATCGTTGCCCTCGTTGAGCGCATGGCAACCGTTGCCCAATACTTATTATCCACTTCCCAGTTGTTTCCGTCGAAGAACTGCTAGTAATGGGCTTGAACAACTCACTTCACAGCACAAACCGACTATCCAAGGCATACAGTGCCTCATAACGGGTCCGGCCATCCCCATGCCCAGCAAGTCCAAGCGTTTTACAGGTTGTTTTTCTGAAAATAAATACTCCAGAGCTTTCTACTCCCCGTCCCGGTCCTCCACCAACGCCCTCTGCTCGCGCCCGAGCCAGTCACGGTGGTCCTTGAACACATTCCCATTCAGTGTATCCCACTCCTCCTGCTCCTCCCTCTTTCGGCGGACGTTTGCGCGCCAGCGCCGGAACAGCCACACGAGCACGGCGATAAGCGCTGATACGCCGATGATCCCACCAACGATCGAGCTGGTCGGGACCTTGTGCACGACCGCGCTAGGATAGAAGGAGTCAGCGCCGTCAAATTCTGGCTCGGAAGGTCTGGTAAGCTTACCTCGCGGAGATGTTGCCTGTCGTTTCGGAGCCATCTGCGGCGGTTATCGTCGTCGTGAATACGTGGTTTATGTGCCCGTCGGTCGCGTCCTGGCCTCCTACACCGGCAGCAGGGTTTGTCTGTTGACCACCTCCCTGGCCCAGGCCGGTAGTACCGGACAACGGTGTTTGCGTGGCTGGCGCGGATGTCCCGGTGGGTGTTGAGATGATCTGCCGCGAGGTGCTGGCTGAAGGGGAGTCTACAGGTGTCGCAGACGCAGTGGATCTATCGCCATGAATATGAACTCCATGGCAGACTCCGGAGACACAACTCACGCAATCGAGCTGCTGCCAGTGTCACTGTTGTCCGAAAGACGACGAACACACGATGATGGGAGCGGGACACTGGCAGGTACGAGTTTGCCGTGAGCCTAGGGCCGGGGCAACGTCAGTACCCATGAACTTTGAAACTGCTATTTCCCTCGCCGCTCACGTCATATAAACAGGTTGTTTCCGGTAGGAGGAGGCTGCCACCGTAGCTACACACAAGCAGCCCCTGACCTGCGGCCACAGGCAAGCCTAGGTCAGGCAGCAGCGTGTCGCCGTCCAGGTCTTCTGGAGGGCAGGTCAGGTTGCTTGGTGCACCGCCAGTGGGGCGGTTATTTGGGGCCCCTGAGGGAGGAGACAAGTCAGTCGTAAGGGCGGCCATGGGTGGGGAAGGGAAGGAAGAGACGCGTCTCAACGCTTAGATATCCCTCGTTAGTGCTATGCGCGGGCAATGCTTGGGATGGGAACCTGTATCGAAGATAGATGTGATGTTTTGCCGATTTTGATCAGGAAGAATGATCATCGATCAGATATTAAAAGCTCCTTCCCACGTCATACTGCCCTTGCCCTGCAACGACCATCTGCTTGTCTTCTGGCATATCTGCTGCATCTTCACAGCCCTGCAAGTTCAGACAGTCTATTGGTGGGAACCTCTACTAATTGCAGTCAATCCCTTAAGTGATATCTAGAGCCCACAGTGACCTGCATTATGGATTGGCTGCAACCCTTGAGCCCTGCTACAGATGGCTGCTTCCAGTCAAAATGCTGGCCATCTGCTATAGATGTTAACTTTATCTTGACCCTTCTTAGGAGCAACACCCAGCCACCTGACTCTACCATCTTGCACTCGCAAATCAGTGCCTACCAAACAGAATTGGCCCACTATACAGCAGAAATACAGCTCCATCCAGGACTTGATCGGCTCCAACAGGAGCACAATGCTTTTAAACAATACTGCACTGCTTGCACCAGTGTTCTAGCACCACTCCGCAGGATTCCCACTGAGGTCCTGCTCAAGATCCTCTATGAAGCTGCAAAGTTTTTTCCGAATTTTGCGAAACCATCCACTATGAATTCAGAGGATGCCTATGTCATGAATCTTCTGCACCAGCAGCAGTGGAGACAGCTCTCAACTGTCTGCTACCACTGGTATACCACTATCATGAATGCAAGATCTATCTGGGGGTGTCATCTCTGTCAATATGATACCTGCAGTTTATGATCAGATTGCAGCAAGGGCAGTCAAGAAAGCCTTGGCACTGGCTCACAAGGCCCCACTCACTGTTACTTTGATCATGACTATTGAACCATCTGAATGGCATTTCTCCTTCCCAGATAACTGGGAAAAACGGGAAACCATTAGCTTACTCCAAGCACATTCACAACAGTGGAAATCATTTACACTATGGGCAGACCGAGAAGAGTTGACAGAGCTCAAGGGCATTCAGAACCATCTTCCAAATCTTGAGCATCTTCATTTAACCTCTAGCTCACACGAAGTGGAAATCTCACCATCTATTGACTTCTGGAGTAACTGTTCCCTCTTTGAAGTTGCTCCTATGCTCAAAAGGTTGCACTTTGACAATGTGCCACCACCAGTCCCCTGGAAGCAGCTTACAGATGTAGACTTTGTCTGCACTAGGGATGCTAAAGGAGATTCAGATATCACAATTTATGAGCTGTTTTCATTTATTGAGAACTGCTCTGAACAGTGTAGTGTGACCTTCTCAGAATTGGAAAAGGGGCAGAATTTTGAGCAGTGGCCAAAAAATCCTATATTCAAGTCTAGCATATATGCTCTGCATCTGAAGATGACCTCAGGTTGGCAAGATGAATCAGTGTCATCTCCAGTTGCCATGAGTGTTCTGCAGTTGCTTAACCTGCCTAGGCTCCAGTATCTGGACATTCAACCAGCAGGATACAGCAGTCAACCTATTATTGCCTGGGACTCTGTGGTCTTTAGCCACTTTGCCAAACGATCTCCTCTGCTTAGAGTGCTACAACTCCAGAATATCAGCCTCAGCTCTCAGGAATTACTGAGTGCCCTTAAACAAACACCTTTGCTAGAGGAACTCATTCTCAAAGAGGTTGCAAAAACTGATGAGCATGTCTCAAATCCTATCTTAGATGATCCACTGCTTGATGAATTGTCCAAAAATCATGCTCTCATCCCAAAGCTCACATATTTGAATATCACATCCTACTTTTCATTCCAAGAGGCCCTTTTTATCCAATTTATGATCAGCCGGACTAGCGAGAACCAGAAGAGAGACAGGACTTGGAAAGATGCAGCACACCCATTTGTGTTGCAGGCATCAGTTATGGCCTCATACAATGATGCTGAATTGGCTATAGCGAAGAAAAAGATGGCCCTGCTCTCTGTGAATCTGATAGAGTCGGTCTTTCGGTACGGGCTGCGGTTTAGTCTAGATATAGTTCCAGATATCTACTAAAAAAAAAATAAGAAGCCCCAGATGTACTATACCCGTCCAAATTTTTACGGTACTGGTATTCTACAATTCAGCTTGAAATTAGTGCTGGGATAAATAATATTTTGAGATAACAAAATCCATGGTGTGGTACTGAAGTAGTGTAGTGAGACATGTAGAGAACCAAGTGCACTGAATCTATGTTTGCAACAATTTTGATAGCAAGATGATTCTTGGCTTCAGCCCACCACCACCACCGCAATGTTTGCGAAGCTCTCAAATACACTCCGGTCCATTATTATTTCTTCTTGTTGGCCTGTTCATGGCCCTGCTCTCTTACTGCCAACCACTGGGGCTGTGTACCAAGGTCTACAATAATGCAAAATCCCACGACCTCCATCCGTCAATATGTCCTGATTTCAATGATGTTGACAAGGGGCTCGAAGCTGCGCTGGAGCGTCGGAAGCGCCAGAAACTAGAGGCTGAGGATGAAGCTGTAAGGCTGGCACAACAAACTGCAATGCAGGTGGGTCTTTGCTTCATTATGAATTGTTTGGACAGACCAGACAATTCACAGCCATTTTTTTTTCTCTACCATAGTAAAGAATAATTAATCATAGTAATGAATAATTAATAAAAAGCAGAATAAACAAGTTCCAAGGCTTTTTCTCTCCAACTCCATTGGGGTATAGATAATTATGAATAAATATGGCACCATAGGACTCAGACAACAAGATGTGACACTGGTATGTGACATCTACAGGCTTGTTATATTCATCTATATGATACTATATATATTGATAATCAAACATTGGTTTCAGCTTCCAGACATGCTGTTACACACTGTTATATGGAGTCACAGGCGTGACATGTTTCCCAAAAAGGAAATTTTCACAGTTCAACAGACAGAATCATCAGAGAATGTCATACATCGTGGCTACTCTAACATAGGGCTCTGGTATGTATTCTGATGACACCTAGTGAATATGACACTGAGAAAACAATGTATTCACTCATCAGTGGCATTTGATCTTCATTACCTCTGAAAGATGAGCACAGATCTCCAGCTAGCCTTGGTGAATATAGCTGGGAGAGAGTTTATTTGAAAGTCATACCATTTTACTATCATTGAACCTCATTAGCTATGTTTTTTTATCCCCATTAGCCTGATTTATTGACTGCCAAGCATGCCTGAATACTAAGTTGAGCAATGTCTTACTGATATCCTGGCACTATATGCATTAGTGCTGTCCAAAGATACAATACACCAAAATATATTTTGGATATATCGTTAATACGGTTATGCATCAAATCTCATGATCCAATTTGATCTGATACTATAGAATGGTCTACCACACCTCTATCCATTTATAACCACACAGGAGCTATGAGGGTCAGGTAGTTCCCTGAGACCTTGGGTGCTATATATTCTAGGACGGAGATAAGCTAAAATGATAGGGGCACTGTTTTCTGGAAGATGTGTAATATCCCTACCTCTAGATGTACTCAGATCAATGAGAGTCACAAAGGTCATACTATGGTGAACTCATCATTTTTGGGATAGATAACACTGATAATAGTATTGTGAGAGATTCCGAATAGCTATGAGGTTGATTCAAGTGCTGGAGGGGCTCATTGGAAGGTCTATACAATTAGGCAACTGCACGGGTAAACCTATGGGTATCCGAGGCGTTACTCATACCTAGAGTAGAGCCAGCTGAGTCATTAGGCTACGGGTATCCGCCTCGCTGACCCGTACCCATAACCCCGTGGGTAAAACCTGCCTACCCGTGCGGGTTTGGCCTACCCATGCAGTTGCCTATATACAATCCTATATTGAAGTCTTAGATCATACTGTAAATCAATTTCTGATCAGTTGTAATAGCAAAGACACTGTCTTTTGCTCTATGGGTGATTACCCTCTCTTCAGCTACCTTCTGGAACACTTTCCAGAACCATAATATATTATAGTATAGGGTTCTACTAGACATCCAAACATCCCCACCATTCATGTAAACCAGTTTTCACTCAACTCATCTCAAAATATGCACCCCGGTCCCCAATTCATCCTCTGAGAATATATATAGATCAATCAGAGTATGTGGATAGATGTATACACCTCATTGCCAAGTTTTACATATGTGATCTATAATCAACTAGCAGATTACAGCTGTATTGTCAATATGATGTGCAGTACTATTCATTATTATAATGGGGAATAACAGGATCTTCCATGCATATAATGTGGTGTAAGAAATGTAATCTCATAGGGGGACCCCTCCTCATGCTTCCTACCCTTATACCATTTGGGATCCCTCACCTCTAAGTGAGTTATTGGGAGATTGGTGGGTTAAGATATATATCATATAGAGAGGTAGATATGATACCTGAAAATATGGGGAGCTCTTATATCTATGATGGACATCTATTAGAACAGAGCACAACTTGGATTATGCTTATGCATGGATTTCTCAGTGAGATATCAAGTGATCATTGAGTCTGATCAAATTTGAAACATAAAAACTGGAGAAAAACAGTGTAATATCATGGTCTCAAGATATATGGCCATGATCACATCAGATCATATGAACACTAGGTTATGACCTACCTACCAGTACAAGAATTATCTCACTTGATGCAGGATCAATGGAGATATTGCAGCATCCATGTAGGTGATATAGCTATACTAATAACATCTTATTGCCCAGAATATTGATCTTATCATTTAGGCACCCTTAATAGTGCTTCAGTCACCTATATAGGTTATCCACTTAGTAATATATCACTGTATCAGGTGTAGATCAGCTAATGATTAGCCAATCCTAACACAATTATTTAGCTGCCACTATAGGTCACTTAACAATCAGTAATATGAGTGAAAACTAACTCAGTATACACATTTGAATATTTAGAGGCACTAATGAGGGTTATCCAATATCAGTAATTGTTTATA